CAATACCATGAAGCACAATGTCCAAGTAGAAAGGATCGCTGATGAGGTCAGCACATCTAAGATACCAGGAGTTAGCTAGGCACAAAAAAGAAAGGTAGAGGCTATGGGCATCAGCCTTGCTACTGGAACCACCATGGTTTCCAATGGCCGGATCCACCCAGAACACTGGCATTTCTATTAGGTAACCAAGAGCCATCCTCACCAGGAGACCCCAGAAAGGGAGATGTGTTTATACGCTCCACCTCCAAACAAGAATCAGCACTGCTGAGCTGCTATTGGGAAATAAGTCACCACCTCCTCTACACCTTATGTGTACCCTGACCCAAAACACAGCAACTCTGCAAGTAACCACACTCCAGACCTGGGTTTTGTGTCCACATTGAACCCACTGACACCTCAGACATTGGGAGTCATTGTCACAGCAAGGTAGTCTGCACACCAAATCTGAGAGCCATACCTTCACTGTGTGTGCTCATGCTTCAAGCACCAGTTTAGTGACCATAGAGAGCTAGACTGTGCCCCAACTCCAGAGCAGCTCAAACTGTGTCGATATCAGTATTCTCATTCTTAGCTCCCCAGCTGTTTCACAGGAATCTGCACCTTGCCTTCTGTTACCAAGGTGGCAGCAGAGGTGCATGTGCCCTGGGCACCAGTGCCATTACTGCCCTGGATCCCAAAACCATGATCCCTCCATACATTCCTATGTTTCACATCTCAGCTCTGCAGCCACTCCACTGGCACCACTGATCAAATGCTCATGCCACTATGAATGTAAGCAAGCTAAGAAGTCACACCCAATACCAAGAGGGATTTTATCAGCAAAAGCTTCCCCACTGAGAGAAAAAGAAATCAGAAGGACCTTAACAGTCATTGCCACTGAAGACCCAAATAACCTTTGTCACAAGTACGGACATTCACAGCATTGGCTGCTGAGGATCCTCACAGTCTTTGTCATCACCAACCTCAGCTCCCAGAGCTATACAAAGATGACACAACTCTCAATCTCATGAGTGCCAAAACTGCAGCAGCCCACCCAGCAAGTACCCTCACAACCCTGTAGGAGAAGGTCTTTCAACAGCTAAACTAGTCACAAGAGGCTATAAGAGGTGACTGCTGCACCAGATCTGCAGACATCAATGTAAAATCACAAGAAACATGAAAAACCAAAGATACAACATGACCAAAATACCAAAATAATCTCCTGAAGCTGATCCCAAAGAAATGCAGATATAAAAACTGCCTCACAAAAAATTGAAATTTTTTTTGGAGGATCAAACAACTTAGAGAAGACAGTTATGTGTGTCACTTAATGACAGGGATATGTTCTAAAAAATGTGTCATTAGGCAATTTCATCCTTGCATAAACATCATAGAGTATACTTACATAAACCTATATGGTATAGCCTCCTACACACATAAGCTATATGATATAGTCTACAGTTCCTATGCTACAAAACCATACAGTATGTTACTATACTAAATATTGTAGTAAATTCCAATACAATAGTGAATATTTGTGTATCTAAACAGAAGAAAATTTTTTTAAAGCACGAATATGGTATAAAATGTTTTAAAACTGATATACCTGTATGGAGTACTTACCACAAAGGTAGTTCGCAGAACTAAGAGTTACTCTGAGTGAATGAGAAAGTGAGTGGTAAGTGAATGTGAAGGCCTAAGACATTACTGTACACTACTGTAGACTTAATAAACACTCTAACACTGTACACTTGGGCTACACTAAAGTTTGAATAAATTTTCTTTATTCAATAATAAATTAACCTTAACTGTAACATTTTTATTTTATAAACTTTTTATTTTTTTTTACTTTTTCAGTTTTTTGTAATAACACAGCTTAACACACAAGCACACTGTACAATTGTACCATTTATAGCCCTAAAAGCCCACATTAAGTAAAAGATCCCAAATAAACAATCTAATGTTACACCACAAGGGACTAAGGAAAACAGAACAACTAAACCCAAAGTTTATAGAAGGAAGAAAATAATAAAGATCATAGAAGAAATTTTAAAATGGATACTAGAAAAACAGTAGAAAAGATTTAAAAAACAATAGAAAAGATTAACAAAACTAAGAGATGGTATTTTGAAAGGACAGTATCAATGAAACTAACAAAGAGAAAAGACTCAAAATCAAGAATAAAAGAACTATCACTACTGATGTCATGAAGCTATAAAGGATCACGAGAGACTACTATGAATAATTATACACCAACAATTTCAATAAGCCAGAAGAAATGAATAAATTCCTAGACACATGCAACCTACCAAGACTAAATTATGAAGAAGAGAAATATGAATAAACCAATAATGAGTAAGGAGATTAAATCACTAATATAAAGTCTTCCATTAGAAAAAAGTCAAGGCCTCGTGGATATACTGCTAAATTCTACCCAGTGTTTTAAGAAGAATTAATGCTAATGCCCCTTAAATTTTTCAAAAAATAAATAGAAGAAAAGAGATGATTTCCAAACTTATTTTAGGAGACTAGCATTACTGATACCAAAGCCAGAGAAGGACACTATAAGAAAAGACAAATTAAAGGTCAGTAACTCTGATGACCAGGGAAAATCTCAACAAAATACAAAAAATAAATTCAACAGCACATTTAAAGAATAATTCACCATGATCAAGTGTGATTTATCTCCTGGGTGCAAGGATGGGTCAACATAAACAAAGCAATAAATGTGATACATCACATTAACAGAATGGAGGACAAAAAACACATGATAATCTCAAAAGATGCAGAAAAAACATCCATAAAAATTCAAAATCCCTTCAAAATAAAAACTTCCAACTAGTTAGCTATAGGAGAATTGTACCTCACTGCAAAAGCCATACACAACAGATAAGCCATAGCTAACACTATACTTGATGGTAGTAAGTAGAGAGCTTTTCTTCTAAGATAAGGAACAAGCAAGGCTACTATTCTCACCACTTCCATTCTGCAGAGTACTGTTAGCCCCAGACAGATAAATTATGAAAGAAAAAGAAACAAAAGGAATTCTAACTGGATGGGGGAAGTAAAATTATCTTGGTCAGACAACATAAACTTACACAGAGAAAACTTCAAAGACTCCACCATAAAACTATTAGGAGTAATGATTAAATTTAAAAATTTTTCAGTATAGAAAGTCAACACACAAATATGAGTAGTGTTCTTATACTCTAACAATGAACTGTCTGAAAAAGAAATCAAAAAATAATCTCATTTACAGTATCTACAAAAAATTAAATTCCTAGGAAAAAATTTAAACAAAGAGAAAAAAAAGTTCTACAATGAAAACTATAAAACATTAGTAAAAAGAAGTTTAAGATAGCACAAATAAAAATATATCCCATATTCCTGGATTGGAAGAATTAATATTGTTGAAATGCTGATCAGCTATGAATTTAATTCAATCCCTATCAAAATCCCAATAACATCTTTCACAGAAATAGAAAAAATCCAAAAATTCATATGGAACAATAAAAGACCCTGAATACCCAAAGCAATCTAGAGCAAGAAAAACAAAGCTAGAGGCATAGTACATCCTAATTTTAAAACATATTATTTAGCTACAGCAAACAAGACAGCATGGTACTGGGTATAAAAACAGACACACAGATCAATAGAATAAAATATACAATGGTGTTGAAAAGACTAGATATCCACATGCAGAAGAATAAAATTATACCTTCATCTCACACTATGTACAAAAATCAACTCAAACTGGATTAAAGACATAAATGTAGGATCTGAAACTGAAATCACCTAAAGATGGGAAACACTTCATTATGTTGATCTCAGCAAAGAGATTTTTAGATATGACCCCAAAAGCAAGGTAATAAAAGCAAAAATAAGTAAATGGTATTAAACAAAACTAAAAAGTTCTGCACAGCAAAGGAAACAATCAACAGTATGAAGAAATAGCCTACTGAATAAGAGAAAGCATTTGCAAACCATAAATCTGATAAGCAGTTAAGATCCAACGTTTAGAAACAGTCCAAATAATTCAACAGTTAGAAAACAATCAACTCAAATAAAAGATAAGCACAGGATCTGAATAGACATTTCTCCAATGAAGACAACCAAATGGACAACAGGTATATGAACAAGTGTTCAACATCACTAATCGTCAGGGAAATGCAAATTAAAACCACAATGATATATCACTTCACACACATTAAAGTAACTATTATCAAAAAAGATGGAAGATAAATGCTGCCAAAGATGTGAAGAGAAAGGAACCCTTGCATGCTGTTGGTGGGAATGTAAATTAGTAAAGCCACAACAGAAAACACTACAGGGGTTCTTCAAAAAATTAAAAATAGAACTACAATATTATCCACAATTTCACTTCTGGATATACTTCCAAAGGATATGAAATCAGTACATAAAAGAGGTATTTGTACTCCCATGTCCACTGTAACATTACTCACAATAGCCAAGATACAGAGTCAAACTTAGTGTCCAGCCACAGATTAATAGATAAGGAAAATGAGCCTTAAAAAAGGAAGTAAGTTCTATCATTTTTGATAATATGGATGAACTTGGAAAACATAATGCTAAATAAAGTAAGCCAGTTACAAAAAAAAATACTGCATTACCTTACTTATATGTGGGGTTTTCAAAAGTCAAGCTCATAGAAACAGAGAGTAAAATGTTGGTTATGAGAGGCTAGATGGTGGGGGGACTGAAGCAATGTTGGTCAAAGGACACAAACTTCAGCTGGACATGAGAAATGTTTAAGAGATCTACTGTATATCATGAGTACTGTTAATATATTGCATAATTTAAAATTGCTAAGAGAAATTTTAAGTCTTAACACAAAAAAAGGTAATGTACATGTTAAATAGCTTGATTTTGTTATTCCACAATGTATATATATATTAAAACCATGTGGTACATTATAAATGTATATAGTTTTTACTTGGAAATTAAAAATAAATCATAAATAAATCTTAAAGTATTTTAAGATTATCTACAATTATACTTACTGTCAAGTTGATTATTTTGAAAAGATTTTTGTTTCTTTACTTCCACTTCCATTTTTGACTTTGTGTCTTGTTCAAGCATAAGATTTTCTTCTGGTACATCATAATGAGCTACACAAAGTAATAAATTTAGTGCACTAAACATAAAAAAACTATAGTGAAATTTCTAGATTTCAGAAATGTAACAAGTATCCAGTCATATTCTGTCTCATTTTTATACATGTAAAATATAAATAAATTACTATAATTCTAGATATGACATGAAAATAGTGAAAAGAATCTTAGTGAATCTGAGGTGAAGTAGTCTCATTATTTCATAAATATTTCTTGGCATCAAATATATTAGCCTCTACTTGTTTTTGATTATTTATAATTTATATTAATATGTATTCATAGCAAAACAATGAAAATTCATATATACAAGTTTAGTCATTACAACATACTTTTAATCACAAAATAGTCAAAAGCACTTAAATGTATAAGCATATGAGATTGGTTAATTAAAAAGGTATATATTAAAATTTATGGTATTATCAACTGCAATCTTTAATACAATACAAAGAGTTATACAGGCAGCTTTAAAAGTAATAAAAAGATTGTTACAACCTAAATTAGAGAGATTTATAGAAGGTAATGTTAACTGAGGAAAAAATTAAAATAGAAGAAAGATATCAAGTATGCTATCCATTAGGAAATAAATGTAAAAAGATACTTACTTCTAGAAATTGAAACACAGGAAAGATAAACCGGAAAACAAAGTTGGTGACCAAAATTTGCACAGACCCTACATGCAAAATTACATCCAATGACTACTGTTAAATCTAAGCATGCTCCTAGACTGAGGATAGTCTACAATGCATGTTTTCATGTTTCATTCATTTTTCCATGTGTGATGAAAAAGTATGTAGAGTCTTCAGGATCACATTGCCCACCCGTCCAAAAGGGATCATAGAAGAGATGTGAATAATTCACCTTTACCTTAAATGAGTTACTCTTGTTACATTTAATTATGGATGGTGGCACTTACGAGGTGTGTTACTGCATACTTCCTCATTCAGATTTGGCCACTTTGCCCAAAAGGGATTAAAAAGTAGGTAGGCGGAAAGTGTTATACACATAGGAGACCCTCTCCTTTCTTAGCTGGCTGCTATTTGGCCTCTGACTAATTTGACCCCATTGTGATGAGTTCCCCGCCACTGAAAAACTTTTTTTGACCACTGTTCCAGTCACCTGCAAAGTGCCCTGAAAGCCACCTGATAGTCTCTTACTTCAGCAATAAGGAGTAAGAACAACAGATGACAAATAAGATCATTTACAAAACTCAGACCTACATTAATTTGTGCTACTCTCATTGCTATATAGCTTAATTGAACTTGATGATGTGAAATGGTTAGCAGCACAATCCAGATCTTAACTGACAAATTTCCATGCAAGGCAAAAGAATCTACTGCCAAGGTACCAATATTTCATTAACAGTCAGAGTGATGTAAAAATGTAACTGGGTACCCACTCCCAGACCATCTGGTTAAGTCTTCTCAAAGGCATCTATGGCTCTAGTTGCTCAACAATAAAGCCTCAAGGAAGAGATTGATGGGTTCTCCATTAGATGCTTATGATCATTTAATAGTCATGGGGGCACAACACAGAGCCCCACTACAGTCCACATAGTGAGGACTCCTATGACTAATAAAAGTGCTATCCTTGATTCCCAGAGTTGTGGAGCAAGATGGTCAAATAGAAGGCTACAACAATCATCCCTCTTACAGAAACAACAAATTTAAAACTCTCTACATATGAAAAAGCACCTTAATAGGAACCAAAAATCATCTGAACCCCCACAGTATCTGGTTTTAACTTCATACTGTTGAAAGAAGCACTGAAGAGGGGAGAAAAGAGTCTTGAATTGCTAATGCCATCCATCCATCATTGCTCAGCAGTGTTCACATGGTGCAGAGAGAAATTCTTTGTGATTTTTGAGAGGAACAGTGCAGTGATTGTGAGACTTTACATTGAACTCAGTGCTACCCTGTCATGGCAGAAAGAAAAATCAAGCAGAACTCAGATGATGCCCATAAATAAAGAGGGGCCAAAAGGGAACTGCATATACCTGCTCTTGGAACTTGAGTTCTGGCAAGCCTCACCACCATAGGCTAAAGTTCCCTGGAATGCTAAATAAACTTGAAAGGCAATCTAGGCCACAAGGACTACAACTCCTAATCAAGTTCTAGTGCTGAACTGGGTTCAGAACCAATGGACTTAGGGAGCATCTACTGAGACACCAGCCAGGATAGCTAAAGGAGTGCTTGTGCCACCCCTCTTCCAACCCCAGTCAGTGCAACTCACAGCTCCAAAAAAGACTCCTTCCTTATTCTTGAGGAGAAGAGAGGAATGAATAAAGAGGACTTCATCTTGTATCTTGGATACCAGTTCAGCAATAGTAGGAGAGAGCACTGGACAAAATTTTGAGGCCTCTGTTCCAGGCCTTAGCTCCTGGATGACATTTCTAGACACACCTTGGGCCAAAAGGGAACTTGCCATCTTCAAGGGAAGAACCTGGCACGATCTAACACCTGCTGACTAAAGAGTCCTGAATAACCAGCAGCAAGATCTAGGTAGTACGCCGTGGGCATTGGGTGAGACTCTGAGATGTGCTGGCTTCAGGTGAGACCCAGGACATTTCCAACTGTGGTGGCTATGATAATAAACTCCCTCTGCTTGAGAAAAACAGAGGAAAAAGTAAAGAGGACTTTGTCTTGTACCTTAGGTACCCACTCAGGCCCAGAGTAGTGAGTACCAAATAGGCACATACATGTGCACATGTCTTGATAGGAGAATAATTTATATTCCTTTGGGTATGCACCCAATAACATGATTGCTGGGCTGAATGCTATTTCTGTTTTTAGGTCTTTAAGGAATCACCATACTGTCTTCCACAATGGTTGAACTAATTTACACTACGATCAACTGTGTATAAGTGTTCCTTTTCCTCTGCAACTTTCCCAACATCTGTTATCTTTGAGATTTTTAGTAATAGCCATTCTGACTGCTGTGGGATGGCATCTCATGGTTTTGATTTGTATTTCTTTAATAATCAGTGATATTAAGCTTTTTAATATACGATTGTTGGCCGTATTTATATCTTCTTTGGAAAAGTGTCCATTTGCCTACTTTTTAATGGGGCTGTTTGTTGTTGCTGTTGTTTGTAAATGTGTTTAAGTTCCTTATAGATGATGGATGTTAGACCTTAAACATAACTTTCATATGCACCATGAAACAAAAATGTATAACTTGCTTTATTGTGATATTTGATTTATTGTGGTGATCTACAACTGAACCTGCAATATCTCCAAGATGTGACTGTAGGTCATATTTTAGACCATAAGATAAGCCTTAAGAAATTTTAGAAGGCTCAAATCATATCAATTATCTTTTCTTACCACACACAATGGTATAAAACTAGAAATCAATCACAAGAAAATTTTCAGAAAATTCAAAATGTGGGAAAATTCAGTAGCACACTCCTAGATAATCAATGGGCTAATGAGAAAATAAAAAGAAAAATCAAAAATATCTCTTGACAAACTAAAATGGAAACACAATATAACAAAACATACAATGCCACAAAAGCAGTCCTAACAGGAAAGCCTCCAGCAATGAATGTCTACATTTAAGAAAAAAATAAAGACCTCAAATCTAAAAATCTAACAGTACATGTCATGGAACACTAGAAAACAAAGAGCAAACTAAGTTCACCATTAATAGGAGGAAGGAAATAATGAAGATGAGAGCAGAACTAAATGCAATAGAGACTAGAAAAACTCTAGAAGTAGTCAACAAAACTAAGAGCTTATTCTTTGATATGATTTTTAAAAATTGGCAAAACTTTAGCTATACAAAAATAAAACTCAAATAAATACAATTATAAATGAGAGATGAGGCATTAGAACTGACCACATACAAATACAAAAAATCATCAGACTTCTATGAACAATTATACACCAAAAAATTGAATAATCTGGAAGAAATGAATACATTTATAGAAACATGTAACCTACCAGTACTGCAATATATGTCTTTCTGGGCCTAGATTATTTCACTTAGCATAATATCCTACAGGTTCATCAATACTGTTGCAATTGACAGAATTTATTTAAAGCTACATAGTATTTCATTGTGTGTATATATACACCACATTTTTATTTATTCATTTGTCAAAGGATACTGATAGGGTTTGTCTGTATCCTTGCCCAAAAATTATCTTGAACTGTAGTTTCCATAATCCCATGTGTCATGGAAGGGACCCAGTGGGAGGTAACTAAATCATGAGAGTGGCAAAATATAAAGGGATTTTCCCCTTTTGCTCAGAACTTCTCTCTCCTGCCACCTTATGAAGGACATCTGTGATTCTCCTTCCACCATAATTGTAAGTTCTCAGGCCACCCCAGCCATGCAGAACTGTGAGTCAATTAACCTCTTTTCTTTATAAATTACCTAGTCTCAGGTATTTCTTCATAGTAGTTTGAGAATGAATTAATACAATAAATTAGCATCACAGTAGTGAGGCAATGCCATAAAAATACCCAAAAGTGTAGAAGCAACTTTGGAACTGGGTAACAGGCAGAGGGTGGAGCAGTCTGGAGGGCTTAGAAGAAGACAGAAAGATGTGGGAAAGTCTGGAACTTCTGGAAACCTGTTAAATGGCTTTGGTCAAAATGCTGACAGTGATATTGACAATGAAGTCCAGGCTGAGGTGGTCTCAGATGGAGATGAAGAACTTGTTGGGAACTGGAATAAAGGTGACCCTTGCTATGCTTTAGCAAAGAGACTGGCAGCATTTTGCCCCTGCCCCACAGAACTGTGAAATTTCGAACTTGAGAGAGATGATTTACGGCATCTGACAGAAGAAATTTCTAAGCAACAAAGTGTTCAAGAGGAAGTAGAACACAAAAGTTTGAAAAATTTGCAGTTTAAAGATGCAATACAAAAGAAAAACCCATTTTCTGGGGAGAAATTCAAGCCTGCTGCATCAATTTGCATAAGAAATAAGGAGCCAGTGTTAATTGCCAAGAAAATGGAAAAAATTTCTCCAAGGCATGTTAGAGATCTTCACA